GCCCAAGGTGGACCTCAAGGGGCCCAAACTGGACCGGCAGGACGCCAAGGGTGAGGTGACTACCCCCAACGTGGAGGTGTTACTGCCCAGCGTGGAGGTGGACACCCAGGCTGCGGGAACCAAGCTGGAGAGTGACGTGTCCCTTGGGGACAAGGAGGTGGCCACCAGAGACAGCAAGTTCAAAATGCCCAAGTTCAAGATGCCGTCCTTCGGGGTGTCGGCTCCCAGCAAGTCCGTCGAAGCCGCCTTGGAAGAGTCCGTACCCAATGTCCAGGCCCAGGTGACCCTGTCCTCGGTGCAGGCCGACGTGAAGACCAGTGCCCTCAGCATCGAGCTGCCGTCCACCGAGCTGGAGGTCAAGGGTGCCAAGGTGGGCGTGAAGCTCCCAGAGGGCCACCTTCTCAGAGCAGGGCCCAGGGAAGTGGCGCTGGGAATTGCGCTCAAAGGCCACCTGCCCAAATTGGAGAAGCCCAGCATCAAGGTGCCCAAGGTGGACATTGAGGGGCCCAAACTGGACCTGAAGGACGCCAAGGGTGAGGTACTCACAAAATACCAGGTGACTCTCCCTGGAGCCGCTGTCTCCCCGGGGCTCCCTCTGGAAGCGGCCCCTTGTTCCCAGAACGATGCCTATCTTCCCAGCTCAGAAAGTTCTGCCAGTCTTCCAACCCAGGAGAGAGTTGCAGCATCCCAGACTGACAGTCCCGCAGGCCCTGTGGACCCCATGTTTCTTGCGTCATACGGTCGGGTGAGTTTTCCTAAGTTTCATCCACCAAAGTTCGGGTTTTCTGTCCCAGAAGCAGCCGATGCAGAGGTGGAGGCCGGTGCCGGGGGTTGTGCCCCCTCTCTCTCCACTACTGGCCCTGCCCGGGGCCTGGACTCCACAGCTGTGCCGCGCAGCGCGTGGCCGTCAGCAGTGGCTGCAGGTGAGAGCCCAGCTAAAGATACTGAACGTGGAGGGAAAGATAGTCCCTTAAAAATGCCGTGGATCAAGCTTCCGTCATTCAGCTGGTCCCCAGAGAAGGGGGCGGTGCCCCCAGAGGACCCTGAATGCAACCTGGACGACGCAGAGATCGGCGTGGCTGTGGACACGGGTCTCAAGGGCGTGCCCCCTGGGTGTCCTGTGTCTGCAGTGGAGGTGGCTGTGGACGCGCTTCCGGAGAAGGATGGAGAGGAGAGTGGCGTGGGGTCGCCTGGCTGCGCTGTGCTGGAACACGCACCCCTCACAGGGCTCACTCCAGAGGGAGGGCCCGGCCTGCCACGCGGAGACCCCGCTGCTCCACGCTCTAGGCCCCCGGCGGGGGGTGGCGCTCCAGAAGGAGCGGACGTGGACCCCCATCTGCCACAGGCCCACACTCCCCTTTTGGACTTTGTCAGACCCGACCTCAGACCCAGCAAGGCCAAGGTGGGGGGGAGCTCGTCAGCTGGTGGCCCTCCGTCTCCGGGACACAGCAGCCAAGGGCACGGGCTCCGGGACGGCCCGGCAAGCCAGCCTCTCGGCGAGGCGATGGCCCCCTCAGTAGGAGACCCCCAGCAGCCGTCCTGCAGCCCAGCAGATGTGGACGCTCCCGCGGTGGAGAGCGCGGCCTCGCAGGGGGGCTGGTTCAGGATGCCCGCGCTCCGCCTGCCCAGCCTCCGGCGCCCCGCCAGGGAGAGGGGGGCGGCTGGGGCTCGGGGGGCGCCAGTGCCCGCGCCTGCTGCCAGCACACTGAGGGAAGGAGAAAGCCCAGCTCCAGTCAGGGGTCAGGGGGTTCCTGGGTCAGAGGTGGAAGAAGCTATGTCCCTGCAGCCCCCAGAGGCAGGGGCGGACGAGGCAGCAGCGGAGCTGGCGTCCTACGCAGACGCAGACGTCCTAAAGAGAGGTCCTGGGGACAAACGCTCAGAGCTGCACCTCTCTCCTGCAGGGGCACCTGCTGCAGGCCTTTCCCCTTCCGAGGCCAGGGTCCGTCCAGGCGAAGGCTCCCTCCCTCTTCAGATGCCTAGCAGCAGGCTTTCAGGAACCCAGGCCCCTCCTGCTGGGCCTGCAGGACCAGGCCTTGCTGCGGGGCAGGGGCGGGCAGAGGAATGGCCCTCCCAGCCTGAAGGCCCCATTAAACTGAAGGCGTCCAGGACCGCCGGGCCGTCCCAGGTTTCTGTCGTTAACATGGGTCAGCCCTGGGAAGGCTCCGTGGTAACTGTCAGACTGCCCAGGTTAAGCGTGCCAAGGTTCGCCTTTCCTGACCCCAGCTCCGAGGCCGACGTCTTTATCCCCGCTGTGACAGAAGTGCAGTGCCCGGGGAGCAGCCTTGCCCACGCCCTGCACGAGGGAAGCCCGGGAGTCTGGGGCGCCAGCATCCTGAGGGCAGGTGCTGGGACCCCTGAGGGGCAGCCCGTGGCCCTTGGCTTCTCCCCGGAAGCTTCCCCCATTTCCGAGGTCAGAGTGCATGTTCAGCGTGCGCAGGGAGAGGGCCCCGAGGTCGCCGTCCACAGCAGGGCGACGGCAGAGTTGGCTGACCTCTCGGGACCCGAGGCTATTTCCACCCAGGTCGTGCGGCAGTTGGAGATCCCCGCGTCTGAGATCCAAACGGCTTCTTACGGATTCTCGTTGCTAAAGGTGAAGGTGCCGGAGCCCCGCACGCGGGTGAGTGTCCGAGACTCCCGGCTGAGGGACGGCCTGCAGGAGGCTTCCCAACAAGCCGCCCCGGGAGCAGAGCCCGCCTCTGGAGGTCCGCAGCCGGACACCGCAGGACCGTCTGAAGTGATCTCGCCCAGTGTCGATGTGCCTGGACAGCCAACGTTCACGCCCAAAGTGCACTCTGGCCGCCAGGGTGCCGACAGCTGCTGCGACAAGGCCGAGGGTGCAGAGGTTCTCGCATTTCCCCCTAAAGAAGCCGGCGGGGAGGCAGCTACCTCCCGGGCAGAGGAAGGCTCGGCTCCAGGAGAGAAACCAGGAGGTAGAAGGTCTGGTCTGTTCAGGTTTTGGCTTCCGAACATTGGCTTTTCTTCCTCTGCCGAAGAGCCACGCGCTGATTCCAAAGGCGAGGCCCGCGCGGCGGCTGCCCTCCAGACACAGCCTGGGGCACGGCCCGAGGCAGAGCTCCCTAGGAAGCCCCAGAGGGCGGGCTGGTTTCGATTCCCCACATTAGGGCTCTCCTCCTCTCCCACCAAGAAAAGCGAAAGCTCTGAAGACGAGGCAGCTCTGGCGGAGCAAGACGCCCAAGAACAAGCGGCCACGTTCTTTGATGCCCCAGAGAGCTTCTCTCCAGAGGGCGAGGGGGCCGGGGGGCCGGCGGAGACTGCGGGCGCCAGAGCGATGGCCACGTCCACGGCAAGGACGGGGCTGGTCCTGCTGGAGCAGGACCCAGAGGGCGGGATGCACCTGCACCCGGGCCCACCACAGAGTGAGGACAGACAGACAGACGAAAGGAGGCCCTGCGAAGCTCCCACCGTGAGGACGCGCATGTCCACCTTGATTCACAGCACCGAGAGCGAAGCAGAGGTGCCCGAGAGCGGCGGGGCCCCGCCCTCACACAGCCCCCCCGAAGTGGGACCCCAAACACGCCGGCCTCCCAGAGCCTCGGCAGCAGAGGCGGCACCCGGACGCCCCACGCGACCCCAGCCCCACGCGGGGTCCTGTGCCCCTGACGGTCTTGGTTAGACACGTGTTACTCGAGACCCCTGCCCACCAGGCCCTCGAGAACACAACTGCTGCTTGGAGAAGGGGCTGTGACGGCCGTGGGCGCAGAAGTCGTTTGGGGTTCAACTCCTGTCCTGCTGCTGCCTCCTGGTGAAGGTCGATTCGCTCTTTCGGGCAGAGTCCGGCGTGTTCCAGGAGACCCCGCTCCCCGCTCGCTCGCAAGCCCCCACTCCGCTGTTGGATGGCTCGCCGCCAGCGCGGCAAATGCACGCCCCTGGGCTGGGGGCGGGCGAGCCAGCAGAGGTCGTTCAGACGGCCGTGAGTTCCCACGGGACGGTCTGTGGGCGTCCGCTTGCCCGCGGCACCCCCCCCCCCCGCGTGCCCGGCCCCTCAGTGTACCCGCTGCGGCCAGGCTGCAGACGGGACCTGTCTGGCTGCTCCCGGGACCCTGGACGGGCAATAAATCCAGTGCTGCTTCCCCAGTGCTGACTGTGAGGTGTTTGTCCTGGTTGGAGTCCATCCCTGCGCTCCCCCACGCGCTCCGTCCTAAGTTGCTCGGGAAAGCAGAGTCAGGGGCGGCTCACTCATCCGTCTGTCTGTCCAGACCCTCCTCTGAGCCAGCGGCTGCGAGAGACCAAGAGGAAGCAGGCGAGGGCCCAGGAGTCCACAGTGTGGCCGGGGAGGCAGCGCAAGGCGTGGGTGGTGGGCACAGCAGGGACAGCACACAGGGGCCTTTGGCCTCGGGGGCCGGGGATGGGGAGCTGGGGCCTCGGCCGCGGTGGGGGCCCATCTCAGAGGCTTCCTTTGCCGTGGTGGCCCTCCACCCCAAGCAGCCCACGGGAAGCAGATTCGGAACAAGGTTGGAGGAGTTTCCTATGAACTTCCAGGGGTCAGATCTCCTCCCGGCTGCCTTCAGACGCCCCTCAGGGGCCCGTGGGCACGAGGCACTCGGAGTGGGAGCTGGAGCCGATCCCACCTCCCTTCTGCTTGGAGAGGAGCCGCTGCTCTCGTGGCTGCGGCTACAGGAAAAAGAGCAGGGCTGGGCGGGGGCGGGTTGGGGGGACGCTGGGCCCAGAGGGCATCCTGCTGCCCCCGAGGCTACTCCCCCCAACCCCCTCCCCATGCTGCCCTGACAGAGTCTGGGAGGCTGGGTCCTTCCCCCTGGCCACCGTGGGAAGTCCCATCTCCCGTGGCCGGCTGGGAAGGTCCCCCAAGGTAGGAGATGTGGAACCCTTTGGACGGTGGGGCGGGGGACGGAAAGCTCAGTGGGGACTGGGTCCCGCAGTCAAGGAGGCTGCAGGAGCCACTCCCAGCCCCAGCCTCGCCCCGCCCGTCAGACCGACGTGGGGCGCACAGCCCCCTGGGAACACTGCGGTGGGGCCTGCCTGGCTCCGTGGGTTTCGTTCCTCTCTGAACCCAGAGTCAAGGCTGCTGGAGGCCTGGCAGGCGGCTGTCAGCCTGTGGGGAGCCACTGACAGCACGGGCCCTTCCACCTTCCGTGTGGCCTCTGTTCTGTGTGACGTGTGTGAGCCACCTGCCCTGTGTGACAGCCTCACCACAAGCGAGTGGCTTGAAACAACACACACTTACGATCCCCCGTCTCTGGGTCAGGAGTCCCAGCGCAGCTCAGCCGGGTCCTACGAGGCCGCCATTGAGGCACTGGCCAGGCTGCCTCGTCTCCAGACTCAGCTGGGGAAGGAGCCACCTCCCACGCTCACAAGGCTGCTGGGTGCAGGTTGGGTGGCTGAGGGCCCTGTTTCTTGCTGGCTGGAGGCTGGAGGCTGCCCTGCGGGCCTCTCCACAGGACGGCTCACGGGCGTCTCCTTCCTCACAGCAAGGGTCAGCCCCCTGCAAGATGCTGTTACCACCTCATGTCACATAACCACCTCTGCGTGTTCTACCTGTCGCAGGCGAGGCAGCCAGTGCCCTCCCTCGAGGGAGGGGTCACACAAGGGCCTGGGTTCCAGGGCCCCAGGAGGCAGGGTCTGTCTCCCACACCCCAGAAGGGGTCCCCGGGCCTCTCGCGCCTCATCCCCAGGCCTCCTGTGACGGGGGTCTGCCTTGGAGGCCTCCGAGGCTGCCGCTGAGGTGTGGCCACCAGACCCACCGTGTGTGAAGGGGGCTTGTGCTGGCTGTGGCCTTTCACCCTGTTGCCCCGCCACAGCCTGGCGCACAGAGCCCTCCTGGACCACGGCCCATCAGCCTAGGGAGCAGCGGGCCTGGGGTCTGCTGCTTCTGGGGCGCTGGCCTGCAGCACGCTTGCGGTGGGAGTGGCGTGCCGCCAGGGGAGCTCACGCACAGACCAGCACCCAGGGGCCCTGGGCGCGTCTCAGGCCGCGCGGAGCCATGGCGCTCTCTCCAGATCCCCGCGGGTCTGGGCAGGGAGACGGGCTGGGTTTGGGGATCTTCCTCGCAGACGAGGACCCAGTCAGGTCTCCCTGGGGCCGAGATGACGTGGGAACTGGGGAGCAGCGGCCCGGGGTGGGCCTGGGGCCCGCTCGCTCAGCTCCTTCAGCGGCCAGGGTCTCCTGGACATTAAGCCAGCCCCCAGCTCTAGCCTCGGGTGCCCTGGGGGCCTCTGCGAGGGCAGGTGGGCTCTGAAGCCGAGGTCAGAAACCAGAAGGTGGCGAGGCCAGGGCCGAGACAGGCTTCTGACCCAGCATTCCTAGCAGAAGGGCCAGAACCGAGCTGTCAGACCAGGATTCAGCTCCTGCCTCTGCAGGGCAGGTGCTGGGCGAGGCCCAAGAGAGGGTGAGCTCCAATGGGGCTGCACCCAAACCCCATCCTGGCTGGCGTCACCCTCCCCCCAGCTCAAACCCAGGTCCTCTCCACTCTACAACTCTACCGCCCGGTTCCCGGCCCCTTATACACCAGGACTGGGTGCCACGAGCAGCTTGGCCTCTGCAGGCCTGGGCCCACCACCTCAGGCGCCAGCCCCGCCCCCATCAGGCCTGGGCCCGCCCCAGGCGCCAGCCCCGCCCCCATCAGGCCTGGGCCCACCCCGGGCACCAGCCCCGCCCCCATCAGGCCTGGGCCCGCCCCCATCAGGCCTGGGCCCGCCCCAGGCGCCAGCCCCGCCCCCTGCTCTGTCCCTGGGTTCCTGTGGGCGGGAGGCTGGACGCTGGGGAGAGTCACGGGCTAGCATGGCGGAAGCCCAGCCCCGCCTCAATGTGGCCTCGTGGACACAGGCGCCTCCCAGGTGGGTAGAGGCTGAACTCCAGCCTGGGGCTGAGAAGGTGGGACGCAGCCTGACCCAGGACTCACAGAAGAAACAGGGAGGCACACAGTGGTGTAAAGGCTCCGTGTGTGGGCAGGAATTGCGGCTCTGTGGGAGCCAGGGAGGGCATCCTGGAGGGCTCCGTGGAGGAGGTGGGGGTTTAAGAGGGGCTAGATTTGGAGAGCAAACAGTTTGCGCCTGCCCTGCATTGGGCAGTCCTGCCCCTGACCAGGGCTTGTGCGGATGGAGCTGCTCGGGGTCGAGACTGGGGGCCAGGCAGGGAGGCCTGGTCGGGAACAGTGGGGCTCCGCAGCCAGGAAGAACTGGACGTCAGCCCTGCCAAACACAGTCCTGGCCCTGGGCCTGTCCATCCAGGCCTACAGCGTAGCGGGAGCTCCAGTCTCGCTCAAACAGTTGCCGCAGCTGCCCCTGCACGGTGGCCGCCCCTGGCTGGGCGCTGGAGGCCCTCTGGCTGACCACCAGGCCCACACCCGAGGTGCTGCTGAAGTAATCTTCGGACCAGTTGGAAGTGCCTGTGGGCGGAGACGCTGGGTTACTGGGCCGCACGGGGGGTCCTCTGCTGTCTGGCCCAGCCCGATGGCCCCAGTGGCCACCCTGCCGTGGTCCGACTCCAGCCCTGCAGCCTCTCAGTGCTCGGGGGGCTCGGTGCCAGGAGTCCCCACCTGCCTCCATGGGGGAGGGCCTGAGCCCTTTAGCAGGTCCCTGCCCGGGGTCCACGCTGGACAGAAGAACAGCACCCTCTTCAGCACCCGGCCTGGCCACCGCAGGCCTGTGTGCCCTCTGCTGGTGTCTGCTCGCTCGGCAGCCCATGAGGACTCAGGGGTCCTGAGCCGCTGCCCGCAGCCCTCCCCCCTGCTCACCTATGTAGGCCGCCTTCTCCGTGACCATGAACTTGCTGTGGTTCACCCTGCTGAAGGGGATGTTGGAGTGGTTCCTCACGGGCACAATGAAGACTTTCTTGGGGGAACAGAGAGGGTGTGTCAGCCAACAGGGAGGCTACTTCCCGGCCCGGCCAGGGGGTGGGTCCTCACCACGTCCACGAACACGTTGGCTGCGGGGTTGCTGAGGGCCTGCAGGGACCGCAGGTAGGGGAACATGCTGGGGTCCGTGTTGAGCCAGCAGCTGACCAGCAGGCGCACGCGCACGCCCCTGCTGACGGCCGCCACCCGCAGCGCCGTGTCCAGCACCGGCCAGTACCTGGGGAGGGGTGCGGGGGAGGGTCAGGGTCCTCAGGTCAACCGGGCCCTGCGCACACACCCCGAGTGGGCAGGGGTCCTGGTGGGCGAGGAGACAGGCCAGGAGCTGCCCACGGGCAGAGGGGCCTCCCCTGTCCGGGGCCACCCGGCTCCCTCCTGGCCTACCTGGCGGGGTGGCTGAAGCGTGTTGTGGGGAAATACTCCATCACCGAGGCATAGATGAACTCCCGGGCGCCCCCTATCACCGCCAGCAGCGCGTCCAGGTCCCAGGTGCGGCCATTGGGGCAGAGTGCGGGCGGCGATGCCTGTGTGGGCAGAGAGGTCCCTGAGGGCACTGCCCACCTGGTTCTGAGCCACTGGGTTCCTGGACCCGTGACGCCGCGGTGCACCCACCCTCCAGCACTGGGAACCAGGAGGAAGACAAGACGTGGGGTCTAAACAGGGGCCCCGGGCTGGCCTGACGCCGGAGGAAGCCCCCTGCGCGTCTCAGCCGGGGTCCCCACATCTGGGGAAGCGTCCCTGCCTCCGAGGCAGGGTCTCCACTGTAGCCCAGCACTGGGGGAGCTGCCATGTACCCTGAGGGGGGGTCGTGGCTGGTGGGCATGACCGCCCGCCCCTCAGTCCCCCTCTCCTCCCCACAGAGTGACAATTGCCTGATGCATGGGTCCTCCCCGCCCCCCCTGGTCCTGAGTCAGACCCCATCCAACAGTGTGCTCTGGGCCCCCGGGGCCACAGGACGACCCCCACAAGCACTCAGGTGGCCTGTCTCCCGTGGATGACGATGACCGCGTCCTCTGCTGGGGCCGGGCCTGCCCCTCCGCCATCCATGGCGCCGGGTCCCAGAGCCGTGGCCCCGAGGACCTAGCAGACTCTGGGCTGTCTGCAGGGCAGGCCCAGGGTGGGCGGGGCTCCCTGTGCCTCTGGCCAGCCAGGAGAGCAGGGGCTCCAGTCGGCCCCCCCGACCACTCTTACCGAGAAGTAGGCAGTGGTGGGCACCCCGTCAAAGTAGTCCCGGAGGGGCTGGAAGCGGTTGATGTGGGAGGAGAAGTTCCGCGGCCAGGGTCTGG